ATAGCTTGGCATTTAAGAGCACTTGCTGTTCTTGTAGAGGACACGGGTTCCCAACACCCGCGTGGTGGCTCACAACTGTCTGTAACTCCAGTTCCAGGAGATCTGATGCCCTCTTCTGGCCTCTGCTGGTACCATGCACTCAGGTGTTATACAGGCAAACATGCAGGCAGAACACGATATACATAAAATAAACAAATAATAAAAAAAAAATAAGGTGGACAGAAATAAAGGAAGATACCAATGTTGACCTCTGACCTCCTCTTGGACATGCACAGGCAAGTTCATGTGCATACCTATGTATACACACCACACACACAAAGAAAGAGCAAGAGAGGAGAGGGAGGGAAAGAGAGAGAGAATCAATTTAGATATCTTTGGGTAGGAAAATGGAGTCTTTGGCTAAGCTCCAAAACACAATCTAAATGTTAGCAAGCCTAGAGGGAAGAAGGCTGGGGAAACCACCCGGCAAATGACATGAAAGGGGTCACTCTGGGTTTATGAGGAGCAGAGCAACACAATCACAGTTAATAGGTCCTGAGTGACTCCTGCTGCTGGGTAAAGGACTGACCAGACACCAAAGTACAGACAGGAGCCCGAGGCTGCCTAGGGCTGTCAAGGGCATCTAGGATTGCTGGACTCTACTATGTAGGTGTGAGTTTTGCTGTTTCGTTCCATTCCATCAGCTGGCATATGCAGCCATCATCAGGCTGCTGGCCTACAGAATCTCTGTACCTCCTACTCTAATAGATTGTTTCAGATCCGGAATAGCCCCCAAACCAAACAGCCAATCTTCATTGGCCATTCATTCACTTCATAATTCTGCCATGCACACATGCATTGACTAACCAAATACTAACAGGCTCCAGAGACATTTGGAAATGAGATATAGCCATTGCTTTTACAAAGTTTCTAGACTTCTGGGATAAACAGATCAAAAAATAACTTGCACCCAACAGAATCAAGTACCACAAGAGCAGAATGAACAAAATTCTTTGCCAGGGGTTGAGAGCAGAGCAGATCAGGCTGCATTTGACCAGCAAATGTTTTGTTTGGCCCACATGGTGTTTTACTTTGTTTTTTCTAATTAGGTGCCAACACTTAAAAATTGGGACATTTCACATTTAAAACGCAGATTCCTAGCTTCTGGTAAAAATAGGAAGATCTGCACACACCAGGCCAAGTTCCTACGCAATGGTAATTGGCAGGAGCAGAGTAGCAGCTGCCCCTTTCATGCAGAGAAGGAGCCTTCCAGTTTGCCAGAGTCCTTGCTACTCCCTATTGCTCTCTGACACGGAAGCCAATGGTGGTTGCCAGTTATCGCCAGCTTGTGCTGTGGGTGTTTGTGTTTGCTTGTTCGTTTGTTTGTTTTTGAAGCAGTGTTTCATTATGTAGTCCTGGCTGTGCTGGAACTCACTATGTAGACCAGGCTGGCCTCGAACTCACTGAGATCTGCCTGCCTCTGCCTCCTGAGTGCTGGAATTAAAGGTGTGGGCCACCACCCCTGGCTGTGGGTGATCTTACACTGGAGTGAAGATAAAAGTAATAAAACTATGCTATTACCCAGCACTGCTGAGGTTGAGGTAGGAGGACTAGAAATACAAGGCCAGCCTGGACCCTGTCTCACAAAAGACCAAAAACATTTTTTAATTGTTTAACAATTTATTTATTGGAAGCATGTGTACCACGGGGCATTTTTAGAGGTCAGAGGACAACTAGCAGGAGTTGGCTCTCTCCTTTTACCACGTGCACTCTAAGCTTGGCAGCAAGCACCTTCAACTGCTGAGCCACTGTTCACCTCCAAAAGGTTGTTTATTAAAAGATGCTGGCAAGGTGACATATTTCAAGTAGGATGCAGGAGATGTCCTGTAAGCAACAGGAATTCCTTACGTAAGTAAGGACTGCCTATTCACATTACTTACCTGACTGAAGTGTAGAAGCCGAGAGAACTGCCTTTGGAATAGGGCAACCTGAGCCTGCCTGCAAGCTGGCTCCTACACACACACACACACACACACACACACACACACACACACACACACCCCTACCCTCTCTGTACTTCAGTCTCCTTATCTGTAAAGTGGCAATATTTACAGTACCTACTCAGAGGCCCTCTGAAGAGACAGTAAGGAAAACGACACAAGTTCTTAGGCAGTGTCTGGATCGGGTCAGCATTAGATGCTATCTGTGCAAGCTCCTCCAAAGTGAGCCTAAGGGGTGTTTGGATCTCAGTGCTTCACAAAGACAAGCCTCAGGAAAGACAGAGTGATATGAAGCCGAACACTCCACCTAGTAAGGTTCCGAGTCAGCCTGAGAACTAGTCAATATGACAGAACTTCCCAAATGTGTTCCTGGATCCTGGATTTTGGTGACAAAATAGAGTAGGACATCAAATAACATTGAATTTACTAAGATGGCAAAGTCATTCTATTGTCATTCTCTTTTTAAAAAACTTTTTTTGTTGTTGTTTTTTTGAGACAGGGTTTCTCTGAGTAGCCTTGCCTTTCCTGGATTCACTTTTTAGACCAGGTTGGCCTCAAACTCACAGTGATCTGCCTGCCTCTGTCTCCTTGAGTGCTGGGATTAAAGGTGTGTGCCACCAGTCCGGCTTCTTTTTTTTTTTTTAACTATTAATGTGTAACACCTTGTGTGTATGTGTGTGTGTATATGTGTGTGTGTGTCTGTGTGTGTAATTATACTATGGGGCACTGGTGTGGAGTTCAGAGGACAACTTTGTGGAGTAGGTTCTCTTCTTTCACCAGGTTTCATCACTGGGCAGCAAGTGCCTTTGTCTGATGAGGCTTTTTCCCAACCCAGTTTTTTTTTTTTTGAGGCAATGTCTCAGAGACTCCAGGTTGGCTTTGACTCATTATGTAACTGAAAATGACCTTGGACTGCCCATTCTCCGGCTTCCTCCCCCAGCAGTGCTGGGATTACACACTGGGGCCAAGCCTTATTTCCATCCATTTTCAAACTATTTTTTTATTGGCCTGTGTGTAATGTGTCTATATATAACTGTACATGAACATACATGTGGTCTGCCGAGGCCAGAGGGTATCAGATGTCCTCTTCTCTTCTGCCTTGTTTCTCCTAGGCAGGGTCTCCCTTTTAACCTGGAGCCCCCCCCCCCCCTTTTTGGCTACACTGGTGGCCAGCAAACCCCACATACATCCTGTCTCAACTCCCTCTCATTACAGGACTGCATAGGGTTACACCTAGCATGTATGTAGCTGCTGGGATCTGAACTCTGGTCCTCATGGTTGTGCAGGAAAAGCTCTATCTTAACTGCTAAAACCCCATTCTCAAACTCTCTAATCTGGAGAATGTCTTGATTTGATGCTCATCTTACATATCTTGCTTGAGGCAAGGCAGATCTCAGTTCAGGTTGTAAACACTCTGGAAGCAAGTTACACTGTTTCATTTGTTCCTGCTTCAGGGTTTTAGTTATTGCACTTGGGACGCATGATATTGGTTTTTCATAGATGGAATAATTTTCTGCATAAAACTATTTTTAAGGGGCTGGAGAGATGGCTCACAGGTTAAGAACACTGGCTGTTTTACCAAAGGTCCTGAGTTCAGTTCCCAGCAACCACATGGTGGCTCACAACCATCTATAATGAGATCTGGTGCCCTCTTCTGCCTTGCAGGCACACATGCAGGCAGAACACTGTATGTATGTATGTATGTATGTATGTATGTATGTATGTATGTATAAATAAGTAAATAAATAAATCTTAAAAAAAAAACATTATGTTTAAATAAAAGCAAGTGAGGTAAGCCAAGCGTGGTAGTGCACGCCTTTGATCCCAGCACATGGCAGACCGAGGCAGGAGGATCCCTGTATGTTTGAGGCCAGCCTGGTCTACAGAGTGAGTCCAGGTCAGCCAGGGTTACACAGAGCCCTGTCTCAAAAAACAAAAACAAACAAAAAGTAAGTGAGGTAGGCCAAGCATGATGGTGCATGCTGAAGCAGAGGTCAATGCTAGCTTGGTTAACATAGTGAGTTCCAGACCAGCCAGAGCTTTAAAAGTGAAATCCTGTCTCAAAAAACAAGAGGGGCGGGGGGCACTTAACCAGTGTCAGGTAAACAAACACTTTGAAGCACTTTGAAGATGTAGCAAAGGTTAGGAAGCTGAGAAAACACTGTGGTGGGTCAGAGAAGTTCAAGCGGGATTTTGGAAAGAGAGGAGCAAGACTGGAGGGTGATAACGTATAAACCGCTCCAGCAAAATCGCCGCCTCAGGTGGTCCCTAAGCCCAGGAATCTGTTTCTTTTTCCATTGGGATGTTGAGACAGCATCAGAGTCCTCAGCCCAGGCCGCAGGCCCGTTGCCATGGCAACGCACCGGTTCCCACCGCCTACCCCGCCGTCCCCGAGCGTCCCGCTCCTCACCACTGCTCCGCTTTGTCTCTCCACGTCAACACGGCCCTCATCGCTGTTTCCCGTCACGCCTTGGGCCCCTCCTCCCTGCCTCGGCAGCAACAGGCTTCTCTCCATAAACCACTTAGGCTACCTGCGCTACCCTTAGCAACGCACATGCGCATTGAGCCACGCTTGAGCCCGCAAAGCTCCAAACGCGCATGTCCAAACGAGAGCCGGGGGGGGGGGGGGGGAGACGCAGGAGGCGGAAGCGGAAGTATGACCCTCGCAGTTGGCCAGGGAAGGTGGATGGGGCGGGGCATCTTGAGGATGGAAGATTTGATTGGCGGGTCCCTGGCCGTGACTGCTGTAGCTGAAGCGGCGGCGGGAAAGCGACTGTGAGGACTGACGGACTTTGGCGTCAGTGTTTGGATTCCGCCCATTGTTTTGATTTGTGTTCACGTTTTACTCCTCCTCTCGGCCTGGAGCTGAGCTGTGGCCCTGTGGATCAGAGCAGCAGGGATGGAGGGCCCAAACCGTGGGGACAGCACAGTCTCCTCCATCACCCCTGGAGAGAGCCTAGTTCCAGACCCGCCTTGGGACCGCTGGCAAGTTGTTAACTTCTCTCGGGCCTCAGTTTCACAGGGAGTCGCTCTTGTGTGGGTCTTTCTAACCTTCAACACAAGGTGACGGACACCTGGAGCTGTCGCCGCAGTGGGAACAGCCTTGGGTGTGCCTGATTCCTTAGCCGAATTGACTTGGGGGGTTTGGAGGACAAGGGAGGTTGTGTGATGTTGTCAGGTTAGCCTAGGCCGGAAGGGCCCCTCAGAAACGGTGCTATAAAAAGTCACAGAGGAAGCCACTCTTGCGTCCCGGCGAAAATACGCCTATTTGCATGTCCCAAAACTTGACCGCTCAACAGAATTTTAAGGTCTGGGCATTTAACTAATTTGGCAGAGTGTTTACCTAATAAACACGAAGCTGTGGGTTCGATCGTCAGCACCGAATACCCGGGTTTGGTGGCGCATGCCTGGAGGATCAGAAGTTAAAGATGAGCCTCTGGTACGTGGTGGGTTCAAGGCCAGCCTGGGGTGCATAAGATCCTGTTTCAAAAGCAACAACAACGAAACCTTTTTTTTTTTAATTATTACTTCCTTTTTACAGATGGAGAAAAGAGATTTTGAGCTCAGAGTGATCTTCTCTTTGGAAGCTCAGCTAATAATAAATAGTAGAGCCGGGATTTTGACCCGTTTTGTTAACCGACGAGTTTGTGGTGATTCCCTCAAGTTTCAGTTATCTTGTCTCCCTATAAGACCCTTCTAAGGGGCTGGAGAAATGGCTCAGAGATTAATAACACCGGCTGTTCTTCCAAAGGTCCTGAGTTCAATTCCCAGCAACCACATGGTGGCTCATAACTATCTATATAGTTAGATCTGGTGTTCTCTTCTGGTGTGCAGGCAGACTGTTGTATAAATAATAAATAACTAAATCTTTAAAAAAAAATTCCGAAGTAAAAAAAAAAAAAAAAAAAAAGACCCTTCTGGCTGATATTCAGCCCCAAATTCCATCAGAATGCCGTGGTTCTAACTGGTCAGTCTCTAGCTCTTTCTCAATTTCCCTGCTTGTAGAAAACAGGTTAGATTAAATGGTCTTTCTAGAGACTTCTTTAAAAACTGTATATTTACTTGTGTCAGTTTGTGTATGTACATGGGTGTTGGTGGACACCAGAGGAGAGTGTCAGAATCACCAGAGCTGGAATTGCAGGCTGTTATAAGCTGCCTGAGGTAGGTGCTAGGTACTGAACTGGGGGACCTCTGGAATATGTGCTCTTAACCACCGAGCCATCTCTCCAGCCCCTCAGTCACCTTTTAAAATGTCCAGTTTAGTAATTAAAATAGACTGTACCCAAGGCTGGAAAGAGGGAGCTCAATTGTTAAGGGCACTTACTGTTCTTCCATAGGACCAAGGTTTTCAGCACCTGCATGGACATGGTGCACATAAATAAAAATAAATAAAGTCCTTTAAATGGGTAGGGATACACTGGGCTGAAGGTTTTGTGGGGATTATTCCTCCCATAATAGTATGGGAGAAGTATTAGGCAGGCCTGAGTTTTGGTATCAGTTCTGCAAGTGATTTGATTTTGTTATTATACCGTTTTTCAATAAGAGTAAGGTTTTTTAAAGTTTATTTGTGTATTTTATATGTGTGGGTGTTTTGTCTGCACACCAGAAGAGAGCATTAGGTCCATGTGATTGCAGTTAGAAGATTGTGAGCCATCATGTGGCTGCTAGGAATTGAACTCAGGACCTCTGGAAGAGCAACCGGTGCTGTTAACAGCTGAGCCGTCTCTCTAGCCCCCAATAAGAGTAAATTTTAACCTCACAAAGTGATGAGAATCAGGACTGAGAGTGATTTGGAAGTTCTTACTAGAAAATATGTACCTTCTGAAGGGCTACACCACTTTATGGAAATGGTAATGTTTCCCAAAAAGCACACATGTGAAATGTCCCCTCACATGTTTGCAGGAGAGAGGGTTGGAGGATCCATTTAAGCAGTTCCACTGATCTCAGATGAACACTTCCGTTATTGGCTCAAATTCTCAAATTTATGAAAGCTGTTATCAGATGAATTTAAATATATATTAGCAGGTGTCTTCAACTGTTACTGTGTAGAGATTCCTAGCATTTAAAAACCCATGTTGAGCAGAGCTGAGGTGGTACTCGCCTTTAACCCCAGCACTCCGGGAAGTAGAGTCCATTGAGTCTCTGTGAGTTGAAGGCCAGCCTGGTCTACAAAGTGAGACCAGGATGGGCAAGGCTACAAAAAGAAACCCTGTCTCTAAAAGCCAAGGGGGAGGAAATAAAATACCCACGTTGAAGGATAAGAAGCTGTCAGAGAGGGGAAGGTGCTAAGGCACCAAGGCTAGCTCACTGACTAGCCTTACCTCCTGTGATCTGAATATTGTATGCAGTCCTATACTGCTGTGGATAGAAGTCAAGTAAGCAGGGTAAAAGAAATTTTAAATGAATTCATCACTTTGGTTTGTTTTGTTTTTTGTTTTTTTTTTTTCCCAGCAAGGAAGATGTGGCTATTGGACTGGCAAGAGCAGGGGAAGATGGAAGGGAACAGGTGATGAGCCGTGAGTGTAGCTCCCTTCTCCAGGAACCCACTGCTTCTGCTCTGTTTACTGGTACCGTGGTGACAGGATGTCATGAGCCTGTCTCGTGTGGATGGGCAAGACTTGTGAAGCAGAGGTTATCTGGGAAAACTGCAGGAAGATTTGATGTATACTTTATCAGGTAAGCATTTAGGGAAGGGAAATAAAAACATAGCCAAATGATTTTTGTCCATAAGGGGGAAGGATAGCAAGAATCTTAGGTTTCTGGTCCGGGGAAACGGCTCAGGAGATAAAGCACTTGCCATGCAAGCATGAGGACCTGAGTTCAGATCCCCAGAGTCCATCTACAAAACTGAGTGTGTGCGGCAGCTGCCTGTAATTCCAGCTCTCAGGAGCAAGAGCTGGGATCCTTGGGGAAAGCTTGCTAGTTAGACTAGCTAGAATTAGTGAGGTCTGGGTTCAGTGAGAAACACTGTCCAAAAAAGTACTATAAAACTATTATTGTTCCTTCAGTGTCACTGGTTAGTTGTAGCAAGTGACTGGGGGACAGTCACACATGTTGTTGATCCTGCTTTCATTGATAATGATACATTTGGATTTAAGCTATATTTCTGTCTTGATTTTATACTATCATATGAAAGGGACCATTTTCACTTTCTGTTGCTTTAAAATGGCAAACATCTTTGGTGATATTTAGAAACTGTTAATTGGAAATCTGAAATGTGGTCCAGTTGTTTTGTTTTTTAAAGATTTATTTATTCATTATAAAGTGTTCTGCCTGCATGTGTGCCAAAAGAAGACACTAGATCTCAACTATAGATGGTTATTAGCCACCATATGGTTGCTGGGAATTGAACTCAGTACCTTTGGAAGAACAGCCAGTGTTCTTAACCTAGTCAAGTTCTTTTTAAAAGTCATTCCTATTTACCAGCATATGTTTCACTGTTTGTTTGTTTTTTTCCTGAAGCCCAGAAGGACTGAAGTTCAGATCAAAACGTTCACTTGCTAATTATCTTCTCAAAACTGGGGAGACTTTTCTTAAGCCTGAAGATTTTGATTTTACTGTACTATCTAAAGGGGGCATCAGGCCAGCCTATAAAGACCAAAGCTCGGCAGCTCTGACTTCCCAGCAGCCAAATAAAACCGACATTTCAAACCAGAAGCTCAGGACACGAAGCAAATGGAAAGCAGATGTGTTGCTTCTGCCAAGTGCTAATTCAGAGTCACCAGATAGCAGCAGACTGTCAAACTCTGATCATTTGCTACTGAAAGAGGATGAGGGCATTCGGGATACTGGCTCTGGGAAGATGAGAAAGCCCAAAAGAAAGGTGAGTGTTCTGAAAGAAATTGGAACTAAGAAAACCAAACAAAGGTGCAGGAAGAATCTCTCCAATTCTGCTCGAAGAAACAGAAAAAGAGACCCTGTGGTTGAGAAAGCAGGTGCTGACAGTGAGTGTCAACCCAACAGACCCCTCTGCCCTTCAGAGGCCTGCATGATTGAGACTGTCCTCATGGCTGGGGAGGAAAAGGGCCTGGGAAAGGAAAAACCTCCGACTCCAGGGTCAGATCTTCATTTCACACAGCTAACTTCTGGCATCACAAACAAAGTACATTCAACTGAAGAAGCAGGTGATGCGAAGCCTGAACAGCCTTTTTTAGAATCAGAGGAAATCAGATCGAAGGGAGCTGAAGAGGGGGAGGCGCATTTGCATATCGACGTTGTGCAGGGAGGCTCTGAAATGCCCAGCTGCTCACAAGCCAAGAAACACTTCACTTCTGAGACACTGCGAGGTACTCAGTACATGAAAATGCTGGTAACTGTGTGGTAAACAGTTTACCCTCCCAGATCTTGTATGTCCTGCCTGGATGTGGTTGAGAGAGGGAGCACAGTGAAGAAGAGCCATGTGTCAGATACAGTCTCCCAGTTGATCCCAATATCTGCCCTCTAAGTGACTTTTGAGATCAGGGTTTCGTGTATCCCAGCTAGCCTGGATCTGAAGCCTGTATAGCTGAAGATAACTTTGAAATTGTATCCTCCTGCCTCTATCTCCTGGTTGCTGGGATTAAAGGCATATGTCCCTAAGCCAGTTTTTTTTTTTTTTTTTTTTTTTTTTTTTTTTTTTTTTTTTTTT